CGTGATGAACGTGAAGACTGGACAATCACTTGCTAATACGCTCCCGAAGTCGGAACGAATATACTCCAAAAGTGAAGACTGGAAAAGAAGTCGCGAAACACAACGCTAGAGACTTCCTCTGTTGAAATATCTGCCAAATTTAAAAATAATACTAATAATAATAATAAACGGTAAAGAGAAAAATAATTTTTTTTTTTTTTTTTTTTTTTTTTTTTTTTTTTAATCGAGATAGAGAGAAGAGATGAGAGAGGGGTCGCCGGCCATGGAGAAGAAGAGAGGCAGCGGCTAGGTTTTAGGCCATGGAGAAGAAGAAGAAGAAAAAGATAGAGAAAAGTAGATACACCACCGAGAGAGGGAGAAAATTCGGTTTGGTGGTCGCCGACCATGGAGAAGAAGAGAAGCGGCGGCTAGGTTTTAGGCCATGGAGAAGAAGAAGAAGAAGATAGAAAAAGATAGAGAAAATAGATACACCACCGATGAGGGAGAAAATTCAGGTGGTGTTGGTGTTCACAAAAAAGATAGAAAAAGAAAGATATTAGGAGTACCACCACCGGGGGAGGGTGGTCACCGCCATGGAGAAGAAAGACGGCTAGGTTAAAAAACCTGGTGCTCTGATACCATATAGGAAGAATAGAATAGGAGAAGGAGAGAAAGATAGAATAGAAACCCCCATTATGTTATGGGTTGATTACATGGAATATATATAGAGAAATATTACAAGGTAATAGAGTTTGACTAGGTAACTAAATCCTAACTAATCTAGGTAACCGAATCATACTAGAATCCTAATATTACAAGACTTCCATAATATAATATTCTCTAACAATATATTACTATCAACTAATTAAAGATTGGATAATATATAATAAGTAAAATGAAAGAGAAAACCAGGGTTTATGTTATATATGTATGTTTTTGGGGAGAAGTGAGGAGAGATGTGCACGAATAGGGAGAGCGAGTGTGGTATGTGATTTATTCGAAAGAAGGGGGTTTGTATGTAATACGTGGAAGTTTTTGTGAGGTAGTTTTGTTTTAGGGCAAAGATGTAGATTGTGATTGGTTGTGATTTGGAAGAATTTCATTCATTGGTTGGTATTCAAAGATTAAAGTTTTCCTTAGTTATCCATATTATAAAGTTTTTTCTTTTTTTTTACTAAAAAAAAACATTATAAAGTTTTATAATTGTCTAAATATTCATGCTATACCGGGTTATTTTTATTTTTACATTTTATTTTTTCGTCTTTCATTTCACACAATCAGCTACGATACATTGGAAGTTAGATGCTATACCTGATTATTTACATCAGGTGAATGTTAATTGTATTAGGGTTAATAGCCTCCAACTAAGCACATATACACAGGGTATGTGTGCAATTATGTGCAGATCAACGATTAACAATCACACGGTGCAAATAATATTGTCACATTGTACCATTATATTCACAATTTTAAATATTCTTTTGCCTTGCATAAAAATGCTTTTCATTTTCTCCGCTCATATATATATATATATATATATATATATATATATATATATATATATATATATATATATATATATATATATATATATATATATATATATATATATATATATATATATATATATATATATATATATATATATATATATATATATATATATATATATATATGGGCAAATAGCAAATACGTCCATGACAAGGCATTTAATTAAAAGAGGGACATCCAATTTTTTGGGTCTTTCAAATAAATCCAGTTCTTTAAAACTTATTTGCAAATAAGGAAAATCCTTTTATATATATACCAAAATTACATTCAATTTATTCAAAATCCTTTTTTTTTTTGAAAACTTTTTTTTTCCTTAGATTTGTTTTCGGCCGGTCAACTGCCGTTGATCGCCGGGTCTCCGGCGTTGACTTTGTTTTTATAATTTTTTTTTCTTAAAAAAATATTTTGATTAATATTACTGTCTTAGTTGCTAAATTACTGTCTCCAGCAGCTATTTAACTGTCGGAGACAGTAATTTAACTGTTAATTGACTTTTTTTTTCCTTCAAAAATATTTTAATTAATATTACTGTATTCGCTGCTAAATCACTGTCTCCAGCAGTTATTTAAATTTCGAAGACAGTAATTTAACTGTTAATTGACTTTTTTTATAAATATTTTAATTAATATTACTGCATTCGTTGCTAAATTACTGTCTCCAGCAGTTATTTAACTGTCGGAGACACTAATTTAAATGTTAATTGACTTTTTTATTCTTAAACAATATTTTTAGTTAATATTACTGTATTCGTTGCTAAATTACCGTCTACAATAGTTATTAACTGTCGGAGACAGTAATTAACTGTAATGACTAT